CACCCAGGATGCCACCCCCACACAGTCCACTAACATCCAGGATGCCACCCACACCAGTCCACTAACACCCAGGATGACACTCACAACAGTCCACTAACACCCAGGATGCCACCCACACGAGTCCACTAACACCCAGGATGCCACCCACACCAGTCCACTAACACCCAGGTTCCCACCCACACCAGTCCACTAACACCCAGGATGCCACCCACACTAGTCCACTAACACCCAGGATGCGACCCACACCAGACCACTAGCACCCAGGATGACACCCACACCAGTCCACTAACACCCAGGATGCCACCCACACCAGTCCACTAACACCCAGGATGACACCCACATTAGTCCACTAACACCCAGGATGCCACCCACACTAGTCCACTAACAACCAGGATGCCACCCACACCAGTCTACTAACACCCAGGTTGCCACCCACACCAGTCTACTAACTCCCAGGATGCCACCCACATTAGTCCACTAACAACCAGGATGCGACAGACTCCAGTCCACTAACACCCATGATGACACTCACACCAGTCCACTAACACCCAGGATGACACCCTCACCAGTCCACTAACACCCAGGATGACACCCACACCAGTCCACTAACACCCAGGATGCCACCCACAGCAGTCCACTAACACCCAGGATGACACCCACACCAGTTCACTAACACCCATGATGACACTCACACCAGTCCACTAACACCCAGGATGCCACCCACACGAGTCCACTAACACCCAGGATGCCACCCACACCAGTCCACTAACACCCAGGTTCCCACCCACACCAGTCCACTAACACCCAGGATGCCACCCACACTAGTTCACTAACACCCAGGATGCGACCCACACCAGACCACTAACACCCAGGATGACACCCACACCAGTCCACTAACACCCAGGATGCCACCCACACCAGTCCACTAACACCCAGGTTGCCACCCACACCAGTCCACTAACACCCAGGATGCCACCCACACTAGTCCACTAACACCCAGGATGCGACCCACACCAGTCCACTAACACCCAGGATGACACCCACACCAGTCCACTAAAACCCAGGATGACACCCATACTAGTCCACTAACACCCAGGATGCCACCCACACTAGTCCACTAACAACCAGGATGCGACCCACACCAGTCCACTAACACCCAGGATGACACCCACACCAGTCCACTAACACCCAGGATGACACCCACACCAGTCCACTACCACCCAGGATGACACTCACACCAGTCCACTATCGCCCAGGATGACACTCACACCAGTCCACTAACACCCAGGATGACACCCACACCAGTCCACTAACACCCAGAATGCCACCCACACCAGTCCACTAACACCCAGGATGCCACCCACACCAGTCCACTAACACCCAGAATGACACTCACACCAATCCACTAACACCCAGGATGACACTCACACCAGTCCACTAACACCCAGGATGCGGCCCACACCAGTCTACTAACACCCAGGACGACACCCACACCAGTCCACTAACACCCAGGATGCCACCCACACCAGTCCACTAACACCCAGGATGACACCCACACCAGTCTACTAACACCCAGGATGACACTCACACCAGTCCACTAACACCCAGGATGCCACCCACAGCAGTCCACTAACACCCAGGATGCCACCCACACCAGTCCACTAACATCCAGGATGCCACCCACACCAGTCCACTAACACCCAGGATGACACTCACACCAGTCCACTAACACCCAGGATGCCACCCACACGAGTCCACTAACACCCAGGATGCCACCCACACCAGTCCACTAACACCCAGGTTCCCACCCACACCAGTCCACTAACACCCAGGATGCCACCCACACTAGTCCACTAACACCCAGGATGCGACCCACACCAGACCACTAGCACCCAGGATGACACCCACACCAGTCCACTAACACCCAGGATGCCACCCACACCAGTCCACTAACACCCAGGATGACACCCACACTAGTCCACTAACACCCAGGATGCCACCCACACTAGTCCACTAACAACCAGGATGCCACCCCACACCTATCTACTAACACCCAGGTTGCCACCCACACCAGTCTACTAACTCCCAGGATGCCACCCACATTAGTCCACTAACAACCAGGATGCGACAGACTCCAGTCCACTAACACCCATGATGACACTCACACCAGTCCACTAACACCCAGGATGACACCCTCACCAGTCCACTAACACCCAGGATGACACCCACACCAGTCCACTAACACCCAGGATGCCACCCACAGCAGTCCACTAACACCCAGGATGACACCCACACCAGTTCACTAACACCCATGATGACACTCACACCAGTCCACTAACACCCAGGATGACACCCACACCAGTCCACTAACACACAGGATGACACCCACACCAGTCCACTAACACGCAGGATGCCACCCACACCAGTCCACTAACACCCAGGATGCCACCCACACCAGTCCACTAACACCCAGGATGCCACCCACACCATTCCCCTAACGCTCAGGAAGTGACCCACACCAGTCCACTAACACACAAGATGCGACCCACTCCAGTCCACTAACACCCTGGATGACACCCACCCCAGTCCACTAACACCCTGGATGCCACCCACACCAGTCCACTAACACCCAGGATCCCACGCACAGCAGTCCACTAACACTCAGGATGCCACCCACACCAGTCCACTAACACCCAGGATGCCACCCACACAACTCCACTAACACCCAGGATGCTACCCACACCAATCCACTAATGGGAAGAACAGAACGAGTCCTTGGTTCACCCAAAGGTGTAGGGAGGCAAAAACTAGGTGTGGGGTGGACTCTAGCTCACCCAGTGATGGGAGGTATAAGTTTGGGGTGTGGGGTGGACTGTAGCTCACCCAGTGATGGGAGGTATAAGTTTGGGGTGTGGGGTGGACTGTAGCTCTCCCAGTGACGGGAGGTATAAGTTTGGGGTGTGGGGTTGACTGTAACTCACCCAGAGACATGAGGTATAAGTTCGGGGTGTGGGGTGGACTGTAACTCTCCCAGTGACGTCCGATGCCGAGCCTCTGAAATTATAAGCCGCGTCTTACATGCCGCGTCTTATAAGCCGCGTCTTATATGCCGCGTCTTATAAGCCGCGTCTTATATGCCGCGAAATACAGTATTCACTGTATTTATTCCTGTTTCCTTCTGTAATACCGGGAAATAAAACAAATACAAGGAGGTGTGATATATTTATTAAGAAGTAACTTATAATTTCTGTAATGAATTTGTTCCAAGTATTTTGACTGTGCTTGCTTAGTATGTCTGTATTTATGCTTAGATTGTTTGTGTCTATTGTGAGAAGTGCAGTATAACACACACACACACACACACACACACACACACACACACACACACACACACACACACACACACACACGGAATAGACAAGGTGGACAAAGACAGGATGTTCCAGAGATGGGACACAGACACAAGAGGTCACAATTGGAAGTTGAAGACTCAGATGAATCAAAGGGATGTTAGGAAGTATTTCTTCAGTCATAGAGTAGTCAGGCCATGGAATAGCCTAGAAAGTGATGTGGTGGAGGCAGGAACCATACATAGTTTTAAGGCGAGGTATGATAGAGCTCATGGGGCAGGGAGAGAGAGGACCTAGTAGCAATCAGCGAAGAGGCGGGGCCAGGAGCTGTGACTCGACCCCTGCAACCACAAATAGGTGAGTACACACATACACACACACACACATACATACACACACACATACACACACATACACACACACAGTGAAATAGTGGAGGCAGGAACCATACATAGTTTTAAGAAGAGGTATGATACAGCTCAGGAAGCAGAGAGAGAGAGAGGACCTAGTAGCGATCAGTGAAGAGGCGGGGCCAGGAGCTGAGTCTCGACCCCTTCAACCACAATTAGCTGAGTACAATTAGGTGAGTACACACACATACACACACACACACACACACACACACACACACACACACACACACACACACACACACACACACACACACACACACACACACACACACACTGACCCATACTGGAGAATGGAGCACCAGTATGCAACCCACACCTGGTCCCGGAGCTTAGGAGTTTGTCCTACGAGGACAGGTTAAGGGAACTCTGACAATACTGGAAGACAGGAGGGATGAGGAGACATGATAACAACATATAGAATACTGAGAGGAACTGTCAGGGTGGACAGGGACAGGATGTTTGGGAGCTGTAACACAACTGGAAGTTGAAAACTCAGATGAGTCACAGGGATGTTAGGAAGTATTTCTTCAGTCATAGAGTTGTCAGGAAGTGGAACAGTCTGGAGAGTGATGTGGTGGAGGCAGGAACCATACATAGCTTTAGGAAGAGGTATGGTAAATCTCATGGAGCAGGGAGAGAGTGAACCTAGGAGCTATGAATCCCTGCAAACACAATTAGGTAATGCAGTAAGATCACAGTAAACAGGTGATATCAGAATATGCAAAACAACCACTGTGAAAGAATAGTGAAATTCCATCCGCTTTCGTGACTTCTCACATTATCAAGGAACTATATAATGTGAGAAGTCACGAAATCGCTTTGAATTTCGCTATTTTTTTCGCAGTGGTTGTTTTGCACAATGAGGTAAGTACAGTTAGGTGAATACACACACACACACACACACACACACACACACACACACACACACACACACACACACACACACATTCAGAAACATTATTTTTAAGTTAGGTTAAGTAAGGTTCGTCAGGAAACAGGACAAGTGTTTCCCCTGACGTGGGTCTTAGATGATGACCCGCCTTTGGAGCATTGGTCATCTGACCGAGACCTTCCGCTGGCTTACCGGCCCACCCTTTTAAAATTTATAGTCATATAGAATCATTTTATCCAGGTATTAATTTTAAGTCAATGAGAGCTGCGCGGTCTTCACCTCATCTCTTTATCGCAGCAACAATTAAGAGAAGCTGAGAAGCTGTGAGCTCTACAGGTTTGTAAGTTAGTCGTACCGATTGTCAGAGAGATTCTTTTTACGAGTTATCTTGCGACTTAACGTGTTCTTCTTGGTACCAAGAATGGTGGTTGTGAGTTTCTCAAGAGGTACCAGTTCGATCACCCCGGGATCTCTGTTTTCTTCAAGCATCTGTGTAGACAGTAACTGTTTCTGACACAGATGCTCGTGAACACTGTCACTGCCGTTCACTGACAAGAGTAAAGGACTTCCGCGACTGTTGCTGCCCTCTTTCTTGTGCCGACAAAGACGTCCGTGGACATTATCGTCACCTTTCACGGACAAGATCGGAGGGCTTCCAGGATCATTGTTTACCGTGTCCGTCTTTTCTTTAGTAATATTTTGAATGAAGTGAAGAGGTTCTGGGAAGTGAGACGCAGGTGATGTATAAACACACATCTGGGAATTAGCGATGTCACCCAACGGACTGACTTCCGTCACATAAGTTGAGCCGCGGATCTTGTACGACGACGTCAGACGATTCCCTGTTGAGAAAAAATGCTTCAATTGTTATTAAACACTATTTACACAGAAGCAATAATGGTGCAATAATGGTGCAAAAGAACTTAATTGACAGTTAATGCATATTTTCATTAGATTTTCCACTCGTTATCCATCCTGTGGATGGTGCAGCCAGAGTTATGACAGAACCACGGAACGGGTGGGGTTTGAACCCATGGCAAGTGAGTTCTGAAACTCCAAGCAAGCTACTGAGCCAGTGGTCACAGTAGTCACAGGGGTCACAGTGGTCACAGGGGTCACAGTTGTCACAGTGGTCACAGGGGTCACAGTGGTCACAGGGGCCACAGTGGTCACAGGGGTCACAGGGGCCACAGTGGTCACAGGGGTCACAGTGGTCACAGGGGTCACAGGGGCCGCAAGGGTCACAGTGGTCACAGTGGTCACATGGGTCACTGGGGTCACAGTGGTCACAGGGGTCACAGTTGTCACAGTGGTCACAGTGGTCACAGGGGCCACAGTGGTCACAGGGCTCACAGGGGCCACAGTGGTCACAGGGGTCACAGTGGTCACACGGGTCACAGTGGCCACAGGGGTCACAGGGGCCACAAGGGTCACAGTGGTCACAGTGGTCACATGGGTCACAGGGGTCACAGTGGTCACAGGGGTCACAGGGGTCACAGGGGTCACAGGGGTCAAAAGGATCACAGTGGTCACAGTGGTCAAAAGGATCACAGTGATCACAGTGGTCACAGTGGTCACAGTGGTCACATGGGTCACAGTGGTCACATGGGTCACAGTGGTCACAGGGGTCACAGGGGTCACAGTGGTCACAGGGGTCACAGTGGTCACAGGGGTCACAGTGACCACAGTGGTCACAGGGGTCACAGTGACCACAGGGGTCACAGGGGTCACAGTGACCACAGGGGTCACAGTGGTCACAGGGGTCACAGTGGTCACAGGGGTCACAGTGACCACAGGGGTCACAGGGGTCACAGTGGTCACAGGGGTCACAGGGGTCACAGTGGTCACAGGGGTCACAGTGGTCACAGGGGTCACAGTGACCACAGGGGTCACAGGGGTCACAGTGGTCACAGGGGTCACAGTGGTCACAGTGGTCACAGGGGTCACAGTGGTCACAGGGGTCACAGTGGTCACAGGGGTCACAGTGACCACAGGGGTCACAGGGGTCACAGTGGTCACAGCGTTCTGTGGTTTGTATTAATGTTAGAATGACCGACAATATGTTAAGTACAAGGACACAAGAGAAACCAATGTCACATTTTATTGTGGCAACGTTTCACTCTCCAGGAGCTTTATCAAGACATTAAGCTTGATAAAGCTCCTGGAGAGCGAAACGTTGCGACAATAAAATGTCACATAAGTTGCACTTGTGTCCTTGTACTTTCTGGGGCTTCTTTACAATCGTGACATTAAGATGTCGAGACAAAATTACAATGGACGCGCACACACACAAAAAAAAAAAAAAAAAAAAAAAAAAAAACTTGGAATTAGGCCTTAGAGTTAACAGGAAAATATCTAAATATATATTTATAATTTATATTATATTTATTGCCATCATATTTGGGATACATGTTATGAATATCTTATTTATATTAATTAGTTATATTGGTATATTATGTAGGCTGTGAAACTTTATGTAGGGTGTGAAACTTTATGTAGGGTGTGAAACTTTATTATGTAGGCTGTGAAACTTTATGTAGGCTGTGAAACTTTATGTAGGGTGTGAAACTTTATTATGTAGGCTGTGAAACTTTATGTAGGCTGTGAAACTTTATGTAGGGTGTGAAACTTTATGTAGGGTGTGAAACTTTATGTAGGCTGTGAAACTTTATGTAGGCTGTGAAACTTTATGTAGGGTGTGAAACTTTATGTCGGCTGTGAAACTTTATGTAGGCTGTGAAACTTTATGTAGGGTGTGAAACTTTATTATGTAGGCTGTGAAACTTTATGTAGGCTGTGAAACTTTATGTCGGCTGTGAAACTTTATGTAGGCTGTGAAACTTTATGTAGGCTGTGAAACTTTATGTAGGCTGTGAAACTTTATGTCGGCTGTGAAACTTTATGTAGGCTGTGAAACTTTATGTAGGCTGTGAAACTTTATGTCGGCTGTGAAACTTTATGTAGGCTGTGAAACTTTATGTAGGCTGTGAAACTTTATGTCGGCTGTGAAACTTTATGTAGGGTGTGAAACTTTATTATGTAGGCTGTGAAACTTTATGTAGGCTGTGAAACTTTATGTCGGCTGTGAAACTTTATGTAGGCTGTGAAACTTTATGTAGGCTGTGAAACTTTATGTAGGCTGTGAAACTTTATGTCGGCTGTGAAACTTTATGTAGGCTGTGAAACTTTATGTCGGCTGTGAAACTTTATGTAGGCTGTGAAACTTTATGTAAGCTGTGAAACTTTATGTCGGCTGTGAAACTTTATGTAGGCTGTGAAACTTTATGTAGGCTGTGAAACTTTATGTAGGCTGTGAAACTTTATGTCGGCTGTGAAACTTTATGTCGGCTGTGAAACTTTATGTCGGCTGTGAAACTTTATGTAGGCTGTGAAACTTTATGTAGGCTGTGAAACTTTATGTCGGCTGTGAAACTTTATATAGGCTGTGAAACTTTATGTCGGCTGTGAAACTTTATGTAGGCTGTGAAACTTATGTAGGCTGTGAAACTTTATGTAGGCTGTGAAACTTTATGTAGGCTGTGAAACTTTATGTCGGCTGTGAAACTTTATGTCGGCTGTGAAACTTTATGTAGGCTGTGAAACTTTATGTAGGCTGTGAAACTTTATGTCGGCTGTGAAACTTTATGTAGGCTGTGAAACTTTATGTAGGCTGTGAAACTTTATGTAGGCTGTGAAACTTTATGTAGGCTGTGAAACTTTATGTAGGCTGTGAAACTTTATGTCGGCTGTGAAACTTTATGTAGGCTGTGAAACTTTATGTCGGCTGTGAAACTTTATGTAGGCTGTGAAACTTTATGTAGGCTGTGAAACTTTATGTCGGCTGTGAAACTTTATGTAGGCTGTGAAACTTTATGTAGGCTGTGAAACTTTATGTAGGCTGTGAAACTTTATGTAGGCTGTGAAACTTTATGTAGGCTGTGAAACTTTGTCGGCTGTGAAACTTTATGTCGGCTGTGAAACTTTATGTAGGCTGTGAAACTTTATGTAGGCTGTGAAACTTTATTATGTAGGCTGTGAAACTTTATGTAGGCTGTGAAACTTTATGTCGGCTGTGAAACTTTATGTAGGCTGTGAAACTTTATGTAGGCTGTGAAACTTTATGTAGGCTGTGAAACTTTATGTAGACTGTGAAACTTTATGTAGGCTGTGAAACTTTATGTCGGCTGTGAAACTTTATGTAGGCTGTGAAACTTTATTATGTAGGCTGTGAAACTTTATGTAGGCTGTGAAACTTTATGTCGGCTGTGAAACTTTATGTAGGCTGTGAAACTTTATGTAGGCTGTGAAACTTTATGTAGGCTGTGAAACTTTATGTAGGCTGTGAAACTTTATGTAGGCTGTGAAACTTTGTCGGCTGTGAAACTTTATGTCGGCTGTGAAACTTTATGTAGGCTGTGAAACTTTATTATGTAGGCTGTGAAACTTTATGTAGGCTGTGAAACTTTATTATGTAGGCTGTGAAACTTTATGTAGGCTGTGAAACTTTATGTAGGCTGTGAAACTTTATGTAGGCTGTTAAACTTTATTATGTAGGCTGTGAAACTTTATGTAGGCTGTGAAACTTTATGTAGGCTGTGAAACTTTATGTAGGCTGTTAAACTTTATTATGTAGGCTGTGAAACTTTATGTAGGCTGTGAAACTTTATGTAGGCTGTTAAACTTTATTATGTAGGCTGTGAAACTTTATGTAGGCTGTGAAAGTTTATTTCCATAGGCCTCTATAACTGTGTACAGTGACTTCAAGAAATTTTTTATAATGACCATTTTACATTTAGTTTAATAATTATCTTTGTATTTAACGTGACTCACGAGATCGTAAAGACACGATTGCAAACAAACCATACCACGGGTGGGGTTAGAACTCGAGGATCTCTCTGATCGTTGGTTCTAACCCGGCCCATGGCATGGTTTATTTGTCGAACTTCCAAAGGAACTTCTGACACAAGATAAGAACAGGTTAGTACTGTGGTAGGCCTACATGCTAGGTAGGCCCACCTCACTCCCAACCACTTACACTCATGCACATATTCAACCAGTTTTTAAAGTGAGTTCCACAACTCTACTGCAAACAAGTGCTTTCCTAAGTGCTTTCCTAAGTGCTTTCCTAAGTGCTTTCCTAAGTGCTTTCCTAAGTGCTTTCCTAAGTTCTTTCCTAAGTTCTTTCCTAAGTGCTTTCCTAAGTGCTTTCCTAAGTGCTTTCCTAAGTTCTTTCCTAAGTTCTTTTCTAAGTGCTTTCCTAAGTTATTTCCTAAGTGCTTTCCTAAGTTATTTCCTAAGTTATTTCCTAAGTGCTTTCCTAAGTGCTTTCCTAAGTGCTTTCCTAAGTGCTTTCCTAAGTGCTTTCTAAATCAAAACTTGCTCAACTTGCACCGTTGCTGTGTCAAGTCTTGCTTAGATTTTTTCAAATATTCACAACCCTTTAACTTATTCATATTTTCCATTGTTACACTTCAAAACACTTTCTCCCTTATTCTACGTCTTTTCATAAACTGCAAATTAAGTACTTTCAACCTCTTTATAAGATAAATTTTGGTACAGGGATCAACTTTCTCCTCTGTCTCTGAATGTTATCCAGCCCACTTACTGTATTTTGCGGCTTATAAGCCGCATTTTATAAGCCTCGTCGTATAAGCCGTGTCTTATAAACCATCATTGAAATTAAAACAGATCTTATAAGACTTGATTTAGTTTCATTGGGTCGGTATTGGACGTCACTGGGTGAGATACAGCCCACCCCAAGCTTATAGCTCCCATCACTGACCTTCAGCTTATAGGACGCAGGCATTTTATGGGGAAAAATGCGTCCAATAAGCCGCGATTC